AATAGTTGTACCTCTGCGCTGCCACAAAAGCGCGTTGAGGTGTCTCTCATTTTTTAGATTTGAGAAAAGTTAGGTTTAAGGTGATTCGACGATTTCCACTTTTTTTGTCAGAGCGACGTGCGATATACCGCATCAATTCGTTCCATAATGTCAGCTACTTGTCATTGTTTCCGAATTTCCGTCGAATCACCTTAAGGTTGCTCGGTAAGTACTATGATTTATTCAAACCAATACCTAATCATTTTGAAGAAGAAAAAAAAAGAGGAACAAAATTTTCGGGGGTCTCTTAAGCGCCCTAGAGGCGCACATCTAAAATTTGGTATTTTTTTTTTTTATTTTGTTTGTTTTTTTTAACCGTCCCCAGATATCACAAGCCATGTCAAATTGAACCAACTATCTCTTTCGGGGGAGTTACATAACTTATGGTGGATGAGGAGGAGGGAAAATGTTGCCAAAAGGTAAAAATTTAAAACAAAGAAGTATCTCATGCCTCAAAAAAACATGGAAATAACATCGATAATATTTTTTAAAAAAAAAATATCAAAATTAATGTATTGGCCCAGTTTGACCCGACTTGGGACTCTGCGTATTAAAAATGTCTCTAACATCTGAAAGTCCACAAAAGAACAGCGTGAGCAATTTTTCTTGTATGCTAAATTTTTCTAGAGAAGCTCTTTAAGTTTTGCGTATTTAAAAAAATTAAGCTATATTTTGCAACAAGGAGCTACAATTTCTGGCTAAGCCATAGAAGCACCTAACTGTCCTAGAAAGTTACTGGAATAAATACCTTTTTTAAAATGAATCCTAAATAGTAATTTCTATTCGCAAAATTTGATTTTATTGTGTTAAACTACATCCTGTTTATTTGCCATATGGACGAGATTTCTTGATTCGACAGACACAGGCACTATGTTCCAGCAAGTCGGGAAAATTATTTTCTCTATTCAAACCTACAGGAAATAATCGATGCTCGGAAAGCCAGATGCTCTAACGTGGATTGATCACTCAACACAGGTTTAAATGGAAGAAATCCAGCTCCGTCAATCTGCCGGATCCGAATCTGACCCAGATTCTAGTTTCAAGTGGAAAGTTTCCTAATTCAAACAACAAACGGTATAATATTTGTTAAATCGGTGATTTTTGGAAGTTTACGATACTTTTGACAAGTACCTACTGAATGAGGCTGTGATGAGAAAAAATAATTGGAGGAAGTTTATGGTGAATCAAAACTTGAAGTTAACGAGCGTCGAGCTATCGCACAAATTTAGCTAAAATACTGATTTCACTTTAATAAAAAATCAGATCAATGACCCTTGAAGCTACTTTTAAATAAATTCTCTCCACAAAATACATTTTGAAAATCCAGACTTGAAACTTTAAGTATCCGAGTGCAAAATATTGCATTCGATCAGCCACATCAAACGGGCATAATCGCGTTGGATTATTTTCCTTTTTTATTCAGTGTTAACAGGAGATCTTATGTAAACAAGCATCTGAAATATGCTTCCAATCAAAATGGGTCCGTACTTTGCGAGAAATTTCAAGTAAAATCGGCTCTGCAACGTATAATTTATTCAATATCTCGATGTTTTCATGCTTATCCCTACTACTGTATATTGACCTTATTTCTCACTATAGCCTATAGCCCATTCCCTTCAAGACATTCAACCAACTCGCACGCATAAAATGCCTTCAGTTCGCTATGGCGCAACACGTCCTACGTGCAGGCCGGAGCGCGTGACCAGACCAGCTGTGGGTCTTTGCATCCCCATTAGAATCAAAATATTTCATGTCTAAAAATGTTGTGAATGCGGCCAGCGTTCGGTTGTACGTACGTTTATGAACTCCAGCCCCCCCCCCCACCTACGTCAATAATGAAATATCTAGTATATAAATATCTAAATAGTCAGACTAATTCAGGCTGACATCAGTCTGACTCAGGGTAGTTTATGAAACGTAGCCTGACGTCAGGCTGATTCACTTTTACTATGGATTTCACGTAAACATTTCAAAAATTCACCATCCTGCCTTTCGAATTTGGCCGCCATCTTGACATTTTGAGCAATCCCTTTGACTGGAGGGCTGCTTTTATGACTTCATAAATGAAATCTACGACCAAAATTACATAGGAAATGATACCTCACTTGTCTTATCACGCGAACATTTTAAAAACTCACCCTCTTGTCTTTCAAAATTGGCTGCCATCTTGGATTTGGGGTACCCCCTTTGACCGGGGGACTTTTTAAACTTCATATCTGAAATGTACGACCAAAATTACACGGGAGTTGACACCTAACATGACACTGTATGCGTATTTTAAAAAAATCGAAATCCCGGAGGCCTTATTATGGCCCCCATTTTGAAATTTAGGCAATTTGGGGGCAATTTTTGGCAATATGCACGAATAGCTATCTACTGACACTTGATTGACTAGAAATGTATAGGATATGCACTTACAAGCCACAAAAACAGCCTAACTTGACTTTTTCAGCGCCTTGACCCGAAATTCCCGCCAAAAAAGCGAAAAATCGCATTTTCTCAAAAACGGCCAAACTAAAGATTTTGTGGTTTGTTGTTCATCAATCAGTAGGCCTTCTAGTTGACATTTCCGCAAAAAAATCGCGGGTGGTATGTTGACCGCATTAAAAGTGTTAAAATCGTACTGTGTGCAGCGAGGTGGCAGTTGCGCACAACGACAATGCTACCCTGCTAAAAATGTTCCGTGTGAATGATTTCCATGAAGTTGATTTCCATGAAAAAATGACACGGAAAAATGGAACAGGAAATATTTCCATGTGGCTGATTTCCATGTGGCTGATTTCCATGTGGCTTTTTTCCATGAAAATTTTTCATGGAAACGAAATCATTTCCGTGAAAATTTGTCATGGAAACGAAATCATTTCCGTGACAATTTTTCATGGGAACAAAACCATTTGCATAAAAATGATCACAAGATGGTTTCAGTACCATCCAAATTGCTCATGGAAATTAAATAAATCTTAGAATCAAGACAAAGGAGACAAGCGTCCCAATGGGAGCACATGATATTTGGACCATGCAGACATGCTCAGTAAAATAGAAAATGAACAAACAACACTCACCAACTTGTTCAAATCTGTAATCCACTGGGTCAGAAAAATCCACTTGAAGACAAT